CTCTTAATATCAAGAAGACTAAAGTGCTCTATCATCCCCCTCCAAATGAGGTATTACGTACTCCATCTATCAAAATCAATGGAGTGGCACTGGAGAATGTCGATCGTTTCCTCTACTTTGGAAGTCATCTTTCATCCAAGGCAGATATTGATGGAGAAATTCAACATCGCCTGAGCTGTGCCAGTGTAGCTTTTTCTCGTTTACGGCACAGGGTTTTTGAAGATCACGACATTCAAACAGATTTCAGAGTAGTAGCCATGTTTAGTCTGTATCTGCAAAAAGAAAAGGAGTGCTTGTGGCACCTTAGAGACTAACAAATTTATTTGAGCATAAGCTTTCGTGGGCTACAGCCCACTTCATCAGATACATAGAGTGGAAGATACACACACACACACACACTGAACATGAAAAGGTGGAAGTTTCCATACCAATTCTAAGAGGCTAATTAATTAAGATGAGCTATTATCAGCAGGAGAAAAAAAACTTTTGTAGTGATAATCAAGATGGCCCAATTCAGACAGTTGAAAAAAGGTGTGAGGATACTTAACATGGGAAAATAGATTCAATTTGTGTAATGACATTTGAACAGACACCAAGCTTCTTGTTTATCAAGCTGTTATTCTCCCAGCACTGTTGTATGGGTCTGAAACTTGGACAACCTACAGACACCACTTGAAAGTCCTTGAGAGGCACCATCAACGCTGCCTTTGTAAGCTTCTAAAATCAAATGGGAAGACAAGTGCCACCAGTATTAGTGTTTTGGAAGAGGCTAACACCACTAGTATTGAGGCAATGATCTATCAGCAATTCCGATGGACTGGCAACGTCCGGATGCCAGAATATCCCCTCCCAAAACAGGACCTGTTCTCTCAGGTGAAAGAAGGGTACTGTAACATAAGTGGACAAAGGAGAAAGGGGTAAACAGTGAGGTGGCAAAATTTGCAGACGATACTAACTGCTCAAGATAGTTAAGACCAAAGCAGACTGAAGAACTTCAAAAAGATCTCACAAAACTAAGTGGGATTTGGGCAACAAAATGGCAAATGACATTTTAATGTGGATACATGTAAAATAATGCACATTGGAAAAAATAACCACAACTGTACGTACAATATGATGGAGGCTAATTTAGCTACAACTAATCGGGAAAGAGATCTATGAGTCATCCTGTATAGTTCTCTGAAGATGTCCATGTAGTGTGCAGCGGCAGTCAAAAAGGTAAACAGGATGTTAGGAATCATTAAAAAAAGGATAGAGAATAAGATGGAGAATATCTTATTGCCCTTATATAAATCTATGGTGCACCCACATCTTGAATACTGCGTACAGATGTGGTCTCCTCATCTCAAAAAAGATATACTGGCATTAGAAAAGGTTCAGAGAAGGGCAACTAAAATGATTAGGGGTTTGGAATGGGTCCCATATGAGGAGAGATTAAAGAAACTAGGACTTTTCAGCTTGGAGAAGAGGAGACTAAGGGGGGATATGATAGGTATATAAAATCATGAGGGGTGAGGAGAAAGTGAATAAGGAAAAGTTATTTACTTGTTCCCATAATATAAGAACTAGGGGCCACCAAATGAAATTAATGGGCAGCAGGTTTAAAACAAATAAATAAAAGGAAGCTCTTCACACAGCGCACAGTCAACCTCTGGAACTCCTTGCCTGAGGAGGTTGTGAAGGCTAGGACTATAACAGGGTTTAAAAGAGAACTGGATAAATTCATGGAGGTTAAGTCTATTAATGGCTATTAGCCAGGATGGGTAAGGAATGGTGTCCCTAGCCTCTGTTTGTCAGAGGGTGGAGATGGATGGCAGGAGAGAGATCACTTGATCATTACCTGTTAGGTTCACTCCTTCTGGGGCACCTGGCATTGACTACTGTCAGCAGACAGGATACTGGGCTGGATGGACCTTTGGTCTGACCCAGTATGTCTGTTTTTATGTTCTTATGACAACTGAAGCGTTATAAGGACTTGCTTAAGGACAGTCTAAAAAAGTGCAATATTGACATTGATACTTGGGAGACACTTGCCCAGGATCGCTTAAAATGGAGTGAAGTCCTACGTGATGGTCCCCTGCATTTTGAACTTGCTGTCCGACAAGCCGAAGAGGACAAGAGGCACAGGAGGAAGGAGAGACTGGCTTCCAGTCATGGTCAACAGCCTCCTGCTGAGCCTGAAAACATCTGCTCTCATTGTAAGAGAACTTGTGGTTCAAGGATTGGCCTTATTAGCCACCTGAGGACCCATAACTCCCATGGAAGATGATCATACTCGGTAACGAGTGATCGCCCATCATCATCATCACAGTTGTGCAAGCAGTTATCATAGACTAGAGTTGAGGCTCAGCAGTTATATCAAAGAACAGTGGAAATTACTAAGATTTATTATTAGATTTACTTAGGCACTAATGTATTGAGAATGGATTATCATAACACAATTATCACACTTCCAGGGAGGCACTTTTTTTAAGGCACTTTGAAGAGTGTAGTTAGTACAGTTTGAATGGATTGGTCTCAAAAGGACAAATTTAGAATATTAAAAGCAGTTGCTTAAAACAATTTTTTCAGGCCAATTTGCTTGGATGAATAAAGGAGTTAAAATATGGTTTACTTGAGGTCTCACTAGAGAGTGTAGACTCAGCAAGATAACCTAGTTATTTGTATTTCTCCTTCTATTCTATAATATAATCTTTGAATACTTCTTAGTCTCTTAACTTTGGGATGGGGGAGAGTCCTTTCCACACGGTTGGTCCTGGTGTCTGTCATGCTTAGGATTCTTCAGCTTGTTGGGTTCAGTCAGTTCTCAAGAGCATGTGGTGACTTCAGTTTATATAGCCTAGTTTCAGGACTTGTAGGAATGGGCCGCCCTCTTATTCCTATTGGACACATACCAAGTGAGTGCTTAGATTTTAGCTCTTTGTTTGTGTTTGCTTCCATCAGTAGATCAGGGGTCTCAAACATGTGGCTCGCAGGCCGGCGGAGTTATTTCCTGTGGCCACCAAGCTCCTCTCACCTGCTGCCCCCCCCAGCGTGCCGCATTCCCACTCCTCTGCCTACCTCCAGGTGCTTCCCGCTGCCAAACAGCTGTTTGGCAGTGCTTAGCGCTTTCCAGGAGGGAGGGGGAGGAGGGGGAGCCGCACGCTATGGGGAGGAGGTGGCGGGACAGGGGTGGGGATTTGGGGAAGGGGTTGGAATAGGGACAGGGAGGGGGCGGAGTTGGGGTGGGGACTTTGGGGAAGGGGTTGGAATGGGGGTGGGGAAGGGGTGGGAAGATGTGGGGTAGGGACGGGGCCTCATGGGAGAGGTGGAGTCAGAGTGGGGCCGGAGGTAGAAGGGTGGGCTTTCATATCTTTATATGAACAGGTGTCAGTGATGTGGCACTCGGCCAATATACTAGTCCTCATGTGGCCCTCATGGTGATTTGAGTTTGAGATCCCTGCAATAGATGGTGATGGTATATAACAAATTTCTTTAATCCTTTCCTTATCAGAGGTTTTTTAAGTTTGATTTGTTTCAAGGATTGTATTTCATTATTAGCCCCTGCTATCAACGGAGATCCTCTCCTTTAAGCAAGTTCTCTTAATATCCTAAGTTATACCCTGGTTTATATTTTTTGATATTTTTTTCCTTGTGCTAGACAATTCCTATTACTTCTAGAGTGCAACAGTTATTTACAATGAAAACAACAAAATCCTTCATATTTTAAATTTGGAGGACATACTCCATACACTCTTTGATTGTACATGAGCAGTTTATTATGTTGGGCTTGCCATAGAACAAGACATTTTCCACATATAGAAGGATGTAGATCTGACTCACAAGGCAAACAAATGGGCAGCTTCTGATATGGGGTGAAAGATTATTTACAGTATATTTGTATTTTTTGTAACTCAATGTATAGTTTGGTGTGAACATTTTGCTTGGATTTCTTGGTGTAACAGTTATTTTGTTCAATTTGACCTTCAGTCTTACAGCAACATTTCTAATTTGCTTAACTTGCATCTTCCCCAACCATTTCTTTATCCACTCATAATGTGTAATGGGTCACTTTGCATAAGAAAGCAGCGTGTCACCCTTACATGGTAACTTAGAGTTCTTTTTAGGTAGGGTGAGAGGGAGAGAGAGGTTTTATCCATATGCAAATTGAGAGATTCTTGCCTAGATATAACAATATTCTCATTTAATCATTTTAATTAGAATTCCTGACTTTGCCTGTGGGTCCTTAGACAAAGTGTCTCGCATGATGTGAACCATTTTCTTCTTGTCTTCCTAGGTGGATCTTATTTTGGGATAAACAGTGGTGGATAGCTTTTCCAATTTTTAAGGGCCAGAAGGAATCAGTCGTTATTAATCAATCAAGGCATATTTGTTCTGTATATCCCTTGCAGCTAGTAGGCTCTGTACAAACATAACAAATGACAGTTGCTCCTCAGAGATCACAATATAAAAGGAATCATACTTCCAAGCATTTGCTTTTTTCTTTTCTAAAACAATGGGTATTTTTCATAGGTTACTCTTGGGATGGTAGAGTAAAGCAAAAATGCCTAGCTATATATTTAAAAGTATGCAATATGTTTTTGCATACTTTTGTTCGTATATATTCGTCTGATCCTGCACGTACCTAAGTGTTAGCTTAACATTGTGCTCATGAAGAGTCTTGTTGAATTCAGTAGGAACTGTTCTCCAACATAAAGTTATGAATGTGACTAAATGTTCGCAGGATCAGGATAATCATTTGGACTGATTATATGGATCTGTAAATTTTGAAACTAGTTCAAGTGAAAACTACAGCTTCAAGTTTTGCACTACTTTTTGTAAAATAGAGCAAAGGACTAGTTGCAAAAATGATACTTCTGGAGACTCACCTAGCAAAATATTACATCTTGTGCTTTTTGACATCTCCATAAACGTAACTGTTACTGAATAAGTAGTTATGGTGTTTGTTCTTGTGTGTCTTTAAACTGACACGTTGTGTTTTTTTTCTTTTTTTTTAACAGAGCTAAAATTATCAGTATTTGATGATTGTAGGAAGGAAGAAGAATGGAAGGTATAGTTCATTTTGCTTTTTGTAACACTTTAGAATTACTAAAAGCAATAGTCTGTTTCATTAAGTACGCTAACTCTGTTTCTTTGCTTGCCTGAGATTTCTTCACAGCACTTTCATTAAATGACCTGTAGTAGATGGACAAATGGATTTGTCTTCTGGTTTCCTAGTGATGTAGAAAGAAGACCTGAAAGGTGATTCTGTTGGTTTTTAAACTTTAGAAATTCAGGTCTTGTTTTACCCTATTTTCCTGAAAGACACAACAGCCTCACTCATTTCTCTGTAATTTTCCATTGATTGATTTCCACCGGTGGGAATGCTGTGTTGGCCTTATATGGTATACTTATGCTGCAGTTAAAAAACCTTCAGCTGGCCTGTGCCAGCTGACTTGGGTTCAGGGTAAGGGGATGTTTAATTGCGATGCAGAAGTTCGGACTTGGACTGCAGCCCGAGCTCTGAGACCTTCCCACCTTGCACGGTCCTAGAGCCTGGGCTCCTGCCTGAGCCCGAACATCTACACCACAATTAAACAACTCCTTAGCCCAAGCCCTATGAGTCTAAGTCAGCTGGCACAAGCCAGACACTGTTTTTTAATTGCAGTGTAGACATATACACAACAGACTTAAGTCTGTTTTGAGCAGACTTAGACAATATGGTGCTTTATTTAGAATTTGGGTTTTTTTTTAAATCAGAAAAACATCAGGGTTGTTACACAGACAATAAAAATACTCCCATTGTGGGATGCAGCTGTTCTTGCCATGAACAAAAAGATCTGTAGAATAAATTTACCCAGGGAGATCGGGAGAGGAAGCTTAAAATAATTCAGGATAAACTGATTTGAAGAGGAAGGTTTTACACTAAACCAAATATAATGAAGACAGCCACTGCAGGATTCAAGGAGATCTTCTGACATAGCAAATTCTGCAAATGGCTCTCTGAGCCAGAAAGTTCTCAGCCCAAGCAAGATGAAAGTTTGGAATGTTGAGTAAGGCCAGCCAGGCTGATCTCAATTGTCATGGAAGACCTAGGATGAAAAATGGTTAGAGCAGGGGTCGGCAACCTTTCAGAAGTGGTGTGTTGAGTCTTCATTTAATCACTCTAATTTAAGGTTTCACGTGCCAATAATACATTTTAACGTTTTTAGAAAGTCTCTTTTTATAAGTCTATAATATATAACTAACCTATTGTTGTATGTAAAGTAAATAAGGTTTTAAAAATGTTATATATAACATATAAAAATAAAATTTTCCTTTGCAAAATCCATGTTACTTGTAACCCCTTAAAATAAAAATAGCAACCTTGCAGTAATAAAGTGAGCGACTGGGGAAAATAAATTGGTAAGAAAATAATTTCAGTTTCAAGCTTCCACAGCTGCTTATCAAAGAGAATTAAGAAGATGAAATATACCTTGTCTTACAGTAACTGTAGCTGATTCTGAATTATTTGCCTAAATGCTGCTTCATTTGTTTTTATATTTAGTTAATTATTTTAGACGACTTTACCACTAAACTACTGTCGTCATGTGGCAAAATGACTGATTTACTGGCAGAAGGCATCACTGGTAAGTGTAAAATAGTTGTTAAAGGTGCTTTTTTTTTTTTTTTTTTTTTTTTTTTTTTTTTTTTTTTTTTTTTTTAATCTGGGGCAGATAAAAATGTTGGGCTAATAAATAAGGCTATGTTTTAGTTACGGTATTTTTAGTAAAAGTGACGGACAGGTCACGGACAGTAAACAAATTCACTGTGCTAATAAGCGATGGTAACATAAACACCACCCTATACCGGAAACCTACTGACCACTATACTCTATACTTACCTACATGCCTCCAGCTTTCATCCAGACCACATCACACGATCCATTGTCTACACTCTACAGCCAAGCTCTAAGATACATCCACATTTGCTCCGATCCCTCAGACAGAGACAAACACCTACAGGATTTCTATCAAGCATTCTTAAAACTACAATACCCACCTGCTGAAGTGAAGAAACAGATTGACAGAGCCAGAAGGGTACCCAGAAGTCACCTATTCCAAGACCAGCCCAATAAAGAAAGTAACAGAACGCCACTAGCCGTCACCTACAGCCCCCAACTAAAACCTCTCCAGTGCATCATCAAGGATCTACAATCTATCCTGACCGACCTTGGGGGACAGGTCGGTCCTCGCTTACAGACAGCCCCCCAACCTGAAGTAAATACTCACCAGCAACCACACAACAAAACACCAACCCAGGAACCAAACCCTGTAACAAACCCCGGTGCCAACTCTGTCCACATATCTATTCAAGGGACACCATCATAGGACCTAGCCACACCATCAGGGGCTCGTTCACCTGCACATCTACCAATGTGATATATGCCATCATGTGCCAGCAATGCTCCTCTGCCATGTACATTGGCCAAATGGGACAGTCTCTATGCAAAAGAATAAATGGACACAAATCTGACATCAGGAATCATAACATTCAAAAACCAGTAGGAGAACACTTCAGTCTCTCTGATCACTTAATAACAGACCTAAAAGTGGCAATTCTTCAACAAAAAAACTTCAAAAACAGACTCCAACGTGAAACTGCAGAACTGAAATTAATTTGCAAACTGGACACCATCAGATTAGGCCTGAATAAAGACTGGGAGTGGGGGAGGGATAGCTCAGTGGTTTGAGCATTGGCCTGCTAAACCCAGGGTTGTGAGTTCAATCCTTGAGGGGGCCACTTAGGGATCTGGGGCAAAATCAGTACTTGGTCCTGCTAGTGAAGGCAGGGGGCTGGACTCAATGACCTTTCAAGGTCCCTTCCAGTTATAGGAGATAGGATATCTCCATTATTATTTTTTATTTATTTATTTTTTTTATACAAAACCTAAACCTAATTTCCCCCTACCGTTACACACATCTTGTTGTCAACTATCTGAAATGGGCCACTCTCATTACCACTTCAAAAGTCATTTTTCTTCCCTTGGTATCCTGCTGTCAATTGAATTGTCTTGTTAGACTGACCTCACGCTTGGTAAGGCAACTCACATCTTTTCATGTATTTATACCTGCTCCTGTATTTTCCACTCCATGCATCTGATGAAGTGGGTTCTAGCCCACGAAAGCTTATGCCCAAATAAATTTGTTAGTCTCTAAGGTGCCACAAGGACTCCTTGTTGGGGTGGGTGGGTGGGTGTGTGTGTGTGTGTGTGTGTGTGTGTGTGTGTGAGAGACCTGTCCATGACTTTTACTAAAAATATCTGACTAAAACATGGGTGGGGGGCCGTGGGTGTTCTGAGGTGTGGGGGGACAGAGGTGCTGAGGGAGGTGGGCAGCATGGCTGGGGATGGGGGGTGAGCAGCATGGCCCGGGACCCCTGCTGCTGCGAGGCCTGGAGCTCCGTGCAGGGGGGAGTGTTGGCGGGCCTGGCAGGGGCTCCCTACCCAGCTCTGTGTCCCTGCAGCAGAGGGGTCAGGGTGCTTGGCACGCCGCTCCCGCAGCTCCCATTGGCCAGGAACTGCAGCCAATGGGAGCTGCGGGGGTTGGGGCCTGTGGATGCAAGCAGCATGTGGCACAGTGCTTTCCCCCTCCTCCCCCCAGTCCCTTCACTGCTTAGGAGCTGCAGGGCTGTGGGAGCCGGGGAGCCCCCACCTCTAGGCCCCTCCCACACACCCAAACTACTGCTGCTGGCCGGGCAGCCCCTGAGCCAGCACCAGTGGCTGCAGAAGTCACAATGGTCACAGAAAATCACAGAATCCGTGACTTCCGAACGGACTAGCAGCCTTACTAATAAATATATGCACTGTATGTAATATTACTATTATAAATGAGAAAAAGGTCATAAGACTGTTTCTTTATTTACTTGTTTAATATTCAATGGTTTGTTAATTGCAAGCCTGAAATCTGCGTTTAATGCTGCTCTCTTGAAAAAACCTTGCAGCATTGGTGCTGCAAAGTGGCATGTAGGCAAGTATAATATTTGTAAAATCCGGAAACTGGTCTGCCATAGCTGACTGGCTATTTACTCTTGAAACTTTATGCTGTCAGTTGAGAGATGTGCCTTTTCCCTGTCTGCTCTCCTTAAAATCTGGTATGCTTGATCAAATTTGAAGGTCCAGTGTAGAAAGACTTGCTTGAAAGAACTTTACAGTTGGATGATAGTTAACTTTTCTTTACTTGGAGACTTCACTTTTGGGCAAAGTGTTCTTCAGTGTTTTTCATGCTATATAAGTGATTAGTTGCTCCCCTGTACTTTCAGGGAAGCAGCAAATCAAGTATGTGGTCAGACGCAAGACGAACTTCTTGAGAATGTCTTTTCAATTGTAGTTAGCTCAGTGAAAATACGTGTGTAGTGTAGAGTTTTGGACAAAGAAAAACAAAGTATTAGAATGTATGAAGAACAGGATATAGCATTCTCAGCATTCTCACCACATATAAATCAATGGAATGCCCTCATCTGGATACAGGATTCAAGTCTCGAGAAAACAGAAATAGGAGAGGTCCAGAGAAGGGAAACCAAAATTGCTGAAGGCATGGAAAAACTTTCCTATGGAAAAGACTGAATCTGAATCCTTTCCACGCCATCAGGCATTGTTTAAGGCATGGAAAAGGCTCTTCCATCCCTGTCCATCGTGCCACTAGAGTAGAATCTCAGAGTTACGAACACCAGAGTTACGAACTGACCGGTCAACTACACACCTCATTTGGAACCAGAAGTATGCAATCAGGCAGCAGCAGAAACCCCCCAAAACACCCCAGCAAGGATATTACTGTGTTAAATGTAAATTACTAAAAAAAAAAAAAAAAAAAAAAGGAAACTCTCTGTGCTTGTTTCATTTAAATTAAGGTGGCTAAAAGCAGCATTTTCCTTCTAGATAGTAAAGTTTCAAAGCTGTATTAAATCAATGTTCAGTTGTAAAGTTTTGAAAGAACAGCCATAATGTTTTGTTCAGAGTTATGAACATTTCAGAGTTATTGAACAACTTTCATTCCTGAGATTTTTGTAACTCTGAGGTTCTACTGTACTCAGAATACTTTGTTGTGTTTCTATAACTTTTGTACAAAGATGGGTTGTTGTTCCATTGCTCAACCCCTGACCTGGAGGACCAGTAGGCTGCTTTTAGTCTGATCCCTACCTTTGACCTGTCCAGTTTGCGTGGCCCTATCAAGAGTTAAAACTCCTGCAAGCATAGCTGTCAGGTTCACTGGAACACACAAGCCTTCCCTCTACATCAGGGTGCAGTCTCCACGGAAGGATGGAAAGACTAAGAACTGTTTAAGTTTAGAGTGGAGAGAAGAGGGGACATGATAGCTGTGAATAAAATAATGAATGATATAGAGAACAAGGGGACATCCAATGAAACTAAAAGGTAACGTTTAAAAGTGCTAAAAGGAAATCCTTCTATTCAATGCAGAATTAACCTATGGAACTGTCAAGACTGATTTTCCCACTCTAGCACTTTTAGGGCAGAAGGTGGGGGCCCACAAGGACTCTAAAAATTACTACTTGCCATTCCAGGCTTGTATTAAACTCCCAAGGTTACAGCTTTTCTCTGACCTTGGATTGGTAGATGCTGCCACCACCCAAATGAAAAACCCCTTTGGGAACCCAGGAAGGCACACTTGGGAATTCCTTCCTGTGGGGTACCCTCAAGCCCTTTCACCCCCCTCCCTCCCCGGGAAAGAGCTGAGAAAGGAGAGGGGGGAAAAAAGTAAATCAGCTGTTGCCACCAGCTAATTAAACAACGTGCACAAACCTCTTAAGACGCACAAATCCAATTCTGTTTGTAAAAAAAGGTAAATTTTATTAATAAAAGAAAATTCATCTGGGAACTTAGTCTTCTGCTAGATTAAATAAAAAAACTACAAGAATTAAGCATCAAGAATAGCTCTCTTGAGGTCTAGCTTAAAGGTTACAAGCAAAACAAAAGCACCTGGGGTTAGCACAGAGGAATCCACAAGCCATAAAGAAATAAAAGGGATAAACCTAAGTGCGTCTTCCTAGACCTTTCCTGATCTACTTACATATCTGGGGCTTTAGGTGAGTAGTTTCTGGGTATGATACTGATGATTTTTTTCATACCTGGCCCAAGCTTTTCACAGCATAACTGCTCCATGTCTGCCTCTCCCCGAGAACAACAGACAAAAGGGAGTCTTTGTTCAATTTTAAAATGTTCTAGCCTTCCCATTGGCTCTTTTGGCCAGGTGTCCACTCACTTCTTTTTATCTATGCAGCAGTGAGACTTTTTAACCCTTTACAGGTAGAGCAATTAGAGAACAGCTACTAAGAGGGATTTTATAGCTACTGTCTGGCTGGGCATCCATAAAAGGGAGCTACCCCCACCCCCCTTCATTTATCACAAGAACTCATTTTCACAATATGTCAGAGTCCAAGAGCTTTCCAGAATAAAAAGGATTAAAAATGGATAATGAAAATATTCTTGGCTAGAATTAGCTAGAATAAAAAATGAAGGCTATAACTCCTCATTCTTCAGGCAGTTGCTTTCTGCAAGTGTTTAAGGGGAAAGTACCCTGATGGGCAGTTCAATATCTGTCCATTATGGAGTTTCTTGCACCTTCCTCTGAAGCATTTGGTATTGGCCTCTGTCAGAAGCAGAATATCAGATGAGATTTCATTTGATAGTGTAATTACTATATGATATATTTGAGACTAGATTTACCTATATTCTTGAGAAGATGAAACACTGCAATCAAACTTTATAGCCTGTAAAAACCATTTATTAAAGGGAACACTTATATTTTCCTTATCTCAGCTGTCTTACTTCTTACTTTTTGAATTTTATTTCTCACTATAAAACTTATTTGAAGTGTGTTTTAAAGTTTCTGTGATGCCTGATACCTAAATCATCCTGGTGAAAAGTAACATTTTGAAATTGATAGTGAATATATTCAACTTTATGAAAGCAGTTTTCAATCTTCTCTAATAGATTCTTTTTTTAAAAAATCCGTATTTTATGGTGAGACAGTATTTAGGATGGTAACTTCACAATTCTTGCTCACACGAGTATCAATGGGGCTACTTAAAGTAAGGAAGAGATTGTATAATTGGACCCTTAGTATGTAAATTTAAACATTGATATTAAATTTGTTCTGCTTTAAGACTGATTATTTACTCGGATACTGTCTTTCCATATGTCCAGTATATCACATGCCACTTCAGAAAGAACAATAAGCTCAAATCTCAACTGTAATTCACTTTTCAAGTGTATTTTACTCTTAGTAAATTGCTTTGCTGTTTCCATCTGAAAATTTTTCAGAACAAATGGGTATAACTTTTCTTAACCACCAAGTAAGTGAAGTGCTGCTTAAAGTGCCAGACTGACAGTCCGGGAAACTGAAGTTCTCTGTTAATTTACAAAAGCTGTGGCATGATCGGAAGCAAGACAAGTTTTCCCACATTTTCCCACCAATGCATAGCAGCCCTATCTCAGGAAATCCTCTGTATGTAATATCTGTAGTGTAATGAGTAAGCTAAACAGAGAAGCCATTAGAAGGACGTGTTACATGAAATAGTTGGTTTTTAAAAAATGACCAACTTGTTCATGCAGTTACATGTCCAGTAGGTTAATTGCACAAGAAATGCTAAAAGGACAGAAAAGGCTAGAGTCTTAAAGGTACTCTGTGTTGGTTTTTTCCCTCTGATGCTGAATAGAAGCATAATTTTACTAAGGTTGTGATCCTGTAAGCTGCTGTTTGCATGTTAGCCCCACGTATGGAGATCCATTGATTTTACTGGGGCTCTACATAAGGGCAGAGGTCTATCTGTGTAGAACAACTTGCAAGATTGGGACCTAGAGGTTTAGTTAGTACGTAACTCTGTTCTACTCTGTCTTTGTGTTAACCTCCAATGTGAAAAATGGGGATTCTTTATAGATAAGGTAGCATCTGGCCCCTGATTTTTATTTTTATTTTTTTTAAGGCCCCACCCACAGACCTTACTTAATCAATTAAAAGTGTAATTCAGCTCTCTCCATAGAATGAGTTTTACACCCATTTTAGCTTATGGAAATACTAATGTAAAATACAATCACTGGTCAAATAGAGCATTATTAAAAGATGCAATCCAGAATGCTTTAGTTTTTTTGTTTATAAACCTTAGTGTTCAATGTAGTTTTCCAAACTTAATTAAGTAAGAAAGATATATTGAGTATTACATTTTGAAATGAGTAATTTTATATATTTTAGCTGTGGAGAATGTTTATAAAAACCGTGAGCCTGTCCCGCACATGAAGGCAATTTATTTCATCACTCCAACCAAGAAGGTTAGTATTTTTAAGGGGAAAAACTTTTACTTAGTTTTTCTTTTTGATTTTTTTCTTTCTTTTTGTAGTACAGAAAGCATAAAGCACTAAGCCATCGTAACATTACATACTGAGCTATTACAAAGCTGTCATTCAAAATAATGGCCGTAGAAAAGAGTTGGCTGTACTGGTACTACAGAAATGTTCAGAAGAGACTGAATTTCCAATTATTAAATCATTTTCAATCTATAACAATATAACATAAGATTTTCCTTCTCCCCTCTGCTTTCTTTGCTTCCTTAAAGCAATCTTTTGTACAACTTCTATAGATGAGAATATTACTGATCTTCTTTCATTGTTTTGTCATCCTTGGGCTGGATATATATAAATATTATAGTTCAGTGTTTACATTCCCATGTGACTGTGATTACAGTATTTCTGATTTCATACTGATCAATAAACACTAACTTTTCAAAAATATAGACCAAGAAAAGTTTGTTCTAAGGGCAGGCAAAATAGACACGAATGACAGTTATTTTCTTTATAGTAAATTACAATTTAGCATTTTTATCTTAAGTCTGTAGATGGGCTTATAAATGACTTTGTAAGTAAAGCATCCAGCAAGTACAAAGCAGCATATGTCTACTTCACTGACTGTAAGTAATTTTTTATTGAGTTTGATAATGATGAATGTTTAAAAGTGGTTGTCAGTCTTATCTTGCTACTAACCTATTCTAATTTTCTAGTTGGTGCATATTTGAAAAATTAACTACTGCACTAAGCTGTGAGGGGAGTTTTGAGACTCAGCTTGTTTACCAGAGTTGAGAATTTAAGTTGAGGTGTTTTTAAAACACCTCCAACCCATAATTCTGTCTTTGCCTGTTAATTATGCTGTAAGGCATTGTAGCCAGAAATGGAAAGCCACAGGATGTGGAATTAGAGTTTCTGTTCAGTGTGGCACTGTGGCTTCTTATTTCCCAGAATAAATATGACCTTTGCATTTTATGCTTTAGTTTTCAATGTTACATATTTTGGTTTTATTTTTATAACATGCTAACTGTATTTGTATGCTATAGAATGTAAAGGAAGAAGCTTTTGAGCAAAATTATGAGGTACACAAACACATAATCCTGTGCATAAATAACATCAAAAAATGACTTTCTTGGGATGACAGTTTGCTGTGCTGCAAGGACAGTGGTTTGAAGTTTGATTATATTTCACTTATTCACTATGAACTCCGTTTTGAGCTGGCCTCCACATGCTTGTAGGGGAGTAAGAAAGTGTAGGTGCCCTCTTAATTCCTCTGCATAGTCTACTTGCATCATAAATTGCACGCAAAGGAAAGAACAGCTGTCATTCCGTAGGTAATCCCTCAATCTGTGCGCGTGTGGGAACTAAGGCTGCACCCTCTCCATTATCAGTCGGCACAGCTGAAAGAGTGTGGAGAGGGAAATAAGCTGTGCTAGGAAAAGGACACCCATACTCTTGACTGCCAGAAGCTGGGACTAGATGACAGGGATGGATCACTCGCTAATTGCCCTGTTCTGTTCGTTCCCTCTGAAGCATGTGGCAGACCCAGTATGGCCATTCTTATGTCCTTATATTCTAGTCTAACTTCCTTCCCCCATGGGAAGCAGACACTGAATTTTGGCTGCATCAGTTTGGTCCCTGGTTTACTCTTGGAGCTGTGCAGTTACACGCTTCCCCTTACTCAGGCCAGATTATAAAACGCCTGTCTATATCTTTAAAAAAAAAAAAAAACCTCTAATGCAAATCCACTACTAGACTACCCCTTTCCCCCCAAACCAAACTACATTCTGCTGTTTGACTTATTATTTTTTTTTTTTTTTTTTTTTTTTTTTGTGTGTGTGGTTTTTTTTTTTTTTTTTTTTTATTATGCTGTTGTGGTAGAACGTAAAAACCTTAAAATGTTAAAATGAAAAAATGAGAACAGTACAGAAACTTTCCTCTGAGATACCTATTACCTTAGATTTCCACTGTAGCCTTGTGTTTTCCAGCATATTATTGGATGAAATGTTCCCCAGAGGGCATTCCATACCCTTTTGTATGTGTGCTTCATGGTGGCCCCAGAATTCCAAGGTCTGCTCCTTTCTGACTGTAGTTGACAGAGTTCCTTGGGACCAGCCAGCATTTTTTAGTGAAGGTTCGAACTTATAGCAGCACTCTTTTTAGCTTCAGTATATATTTCCCCACTGCCTTCCAGTGTCCTTTACTGATTTTTTTTTTTTTTTTTTTTTCATTCCTTGTCAGTCTGTTGCCCAAAGCGTATCTTCAGCTTGCTTCATGGGCAAACTGCTCTATCTCAGAACAGTTGCCAAACCAGCAGCAACAATTGTTGGGGCTTCATTTCCTGCTCCTTTCAGTGCTGCTTCATGCTAGTCATCTGCATTCTTGACATACTTGAGGCTTTGGCCCTAGCTTCTTGGTATAATATCTAGCTATGCCAACAAATAGCAGGGCCTTTAAGTACTTTTGGAGTACTTAATAGCTCCTCTTGTTACAGAGGTTCTTCATTGACACACCATGTTCTTAGTAGTCTTAAGGTTCCATCCCTTCAGTTCACTTTCTGGGGATTTACCAAGATTTGGATCTGTTCAGTGGCTAGCATATGATTCATCAATGCACTGTGGTACTATGCTGTTCACTTAGTTGCCACTTCACTTGCAAGAAAGAGGGAGGTAGATGTAGCAGCTGCGTCAGAAGATGCTCAGTGCAACATGATGGATGTGCCTGTGCACTGTTCTCAGATATCCCCCTGAGCCATCAGGCCTTACGAGTGCCTCAAACCCCTTCTGATCTTGAATAAGACTGGTAGTTGGCTCACCCAGAAAACCTCAAAGGCTTTAGTAAAAGTGAAGAACAGAATTTAGCTCCTGTGCTGGGCTTAGGATTTTGTTTTGACGCTCACTTCAGTACAGGTCCAATCAGAGGCCTTACAGCACAGCTTCTTCACTTGCATTAGTTTTGTCAAGTTTATGGAAGAAAACGTCTGCCTCTTTGTTTAGTCTCTCCTCCAGGAGAAACTCACATCTGAACACCACCTCTGGTAGGGCTTGGACATAGACATCTGGTTTGGTGATGTGTTTAGTGACAATCAATGAGAGCACCTGCCTCTGGAACCTATACTTACAGGTGTAAATATTTATCAGCCTTCCTATGGAGGTTTATCAGAAGCTTGAGGGCCTGTTGAATGATGAAAGGAATCTCTGTGGGGAGAAAAGAAGTGAATCTGACAGATCTAACAACCAATGCTATCCTTGGTTTCATTAGGTCTGTTGTACAGTCCTCCTCTTACTCTATCAAGGGAACCAGGGAGAAGGAAGAGCTGATACAACTAAGACTGGGTTCAGGCATTTAATGATGAGCATCAAAAGTCAATGGGTTCTAATCTCCCTTTTCAAATGTAGCAAGAACCTCTTCTTTAAAAAAAAAAAAAAAAAAGGCTCTGGGTGTCTAGTGAACCTAGACCTGGCATTCATATGGGAAGACATTTATTTGTTGGCGACATTGGTTATTTGGTTATCCTTTGGTGCTACAAAATTGGCTTCCCTCACAATCCACATTTCATCCATATAGAGCTGCTTTGTAGTTGAGCTATTTTTTTTTTTTTTTTTTTTTAAATGGAAGATCTTTACGAGTCACAGCCACCAGGAAACGGAACAACCTTCAAGAGGCCTGGTGGTCTCTTGTCTGTAGGCTTTTAGTTAAAATAGGCTCTAGAGCCCTTAAAATCCACTTGTGTTTTTGTGTCATACAACACTCCTACAATAGGTTCTGATGTTCCAAGAGAACCATGTCTGAATGGCTGTCTAATTGTATATCTCCCTGTTTAAGTTGCAGATCTGTAAACCTCTAAGGTTTGTCCATTTATTTCATTTAAGGAAAACCCATTTTGGCTGTCTGTTCAAGGAATTTGCTAAGCATCCATATGGTCTTATCTGCATATATTTACTAATCATTGCTTAAATTCAGTTTCTAGACAAGAATCCAAGTTTAACCTCTCAGTGTTACAGAATATATTTCTAAAATAGGTGCAACCAAACTCTTGTATCTGCTTTTATATTTTGTTTGGGGATGTGTATTGCCCATTTTGAGGATGTAGGAGATGGCTATCTTAATCTCCTTTTTGTAATATTTAGGAGGTACCTTGTTACTCGTATGAAAGGGGTGAGAAAACCTACACAAAACCCTCTTGTTGTTTTTCACTATTTTTTCTTCTCCTTGTTTGTTCCAGTATCTCTTAAATTTGTTTTAAATCTTTCTCGGGCTTCGGTGTCCAAAAGCTGGAATCCACTGGAAAGAAAAGTACCCGTAACTCTTCTCTGAAGAGAGATCCCAAACCCGGTGGATTAACACCGCTTCTCTTTCCCTTTGGGAGGGTTCTATAATATTTTTATCCCTTAATAGTGATTGACTCTTGTTTCAGCCTCTCTTTTGAAAGGACCTGATGATGGAATTCTGTAAGCCATGGGCATGTTTCTGGTTTCTAAAAGTTCAGAATTTTCTAGCTGGGAGAATTCCCGTCTGATCACGTGCTGGAACCACAGACTAATATGGTAATTCTCTGAAACAAATCTGACTTTTAAAGAACAAGATTTATAAATAAATGAGGTTTTTATGCTGCAAATTTAAATGTGAATGAATTAACTGAAATAAATAAATATAAAATGGCTTCATAACCTTTAATCTCTTTTTCCAGTTTGCCCTGACATTCTCTTTAATAAAATGAAGTCCTCCTGCTCAAGGGCTATAAGAAGGTGCAAAGAAATAAATATTTCCTTCTTTCCATATGAATCTCAGGTAAACTTTAGTCTTTATATTAGCATAACTCCAGAAATTATACTGCATTTTATATTTCTAAGTGTTGATTTATCCACTATAAAGTCCTGAAATGTAGCTGGTTTTTATTTTAAATATATTTTTCAGACTTTGTGACAAACAGTACACAAAGCTTACCACCATTTTACATACATATATTTCCAATGTATTTGCAAGATGAAAACAAATTGCTATTGCTATCAAAGATTTATTTTCAATTGTCTTCATTGCATGACTGGGTTCAGTTGACATGCAAAGCTTTTGTCATTCAGTGCAGCAAATGAGTTCTGGTTTGTTTTAAGCAATGTCAAACTGCACTACTCACTATTTTGCAATATTGTTATCCTGACATGTAACTAGATAGGATTAGTTAAGACCCCAGAATCAACTACTAGTTTGCTCTTGCTGAATTCCCATCTCTCAACAATTCAGAGAATTTAGGATTCTAAAAGCAAAGACGACCTGATATATTTAAGAATAGTAATATGAAGACACTGGTGAGGATAATCACCAGTTAGAGTGAAAACCACCAATGAAAGAGGCTGAAAACTGTCTGCAATAGCAGATTTGTCACTCATGCACTTCATATAAAAGAAAAACAAGATGAAATATTACATCAATTCTGGCCAAGATAGGGAAGCCCACAAGGCCAAGAACCCTTGCTCCACTGTAGGAAGTTGTAGAAATGTCTGTTCTTCTTCTCACATTACTTTTCCCTGTTTTCTGTGTATCTTCCCTTTCTCTCTTATGTGCCACACTGCTAGGGTCACAAACGCTTATACCCCAACTGGTATATGAGTGTAGGAGAGGCTCTTGCCTCCTGTTGTTTTCTGGTAAGGGAGCTTCCTAACTGAAGGACTCCTTTCCCTCTCCTCACTACTTTTTATTGGGTGAGTTTATGGGGTTGTAGTAATGGAATGAGAATCTTCCTCCTAATGTTGACTTACACAAAGGGCTTTTATCACAAGTGTTTGTCAGAGGGTTGTTTTTATTAAACTGCTTTTACCAAAAAAAGTTTTTTAGTTTTGATGAAACATCTGCATCCAAAGTCAACTGAGAGCTGTGAAAACGTTTGTTTATTGTGGGATTCACTATCCTGGTCCTCCAGAGAACCTCTGTCTGAAACTGAGAAATTGATACTTTTTCCATTATAAAACCAATTAAGCAGAATCCATACCCCTTTTCCTTTTTAGCTCTTTTTTTTTTTTTTTTTTTTTTAAATGCCTTGGAATCAGGGAACCCTTGAGGTCTTTGTGAATCATAAACATGCAATAAAGGGCATTTTTGCTTGCTTGGCTGGTAGATAAGAATCTCCTGATGACAAGTATCCTTGTAGCTATGTTAGTCTGTGTCCACAAAAACAGCGAGGAGTCCGGTGGCACCTTAAAGACTAGCAAATTTATTTTGGGCATAAATTTTTGTGAGTAAAAAACCCACTTCTTCAGATGCATCTTCTCCTGATTAGTCTCCTAAGCCCAGTTTGCATGGTGATAGAACTGGGTAGAGTCAGACTTCATCCTGGGACAGGTTTGAATGGCCATGTTCTGCAAGAAGGAAATAAGCATTTTGCTCCTTTGTCTGCAGAGGGAATTCCTGTTTGGAATTTGGCTACATAGCTACGGAGGTAATTTTAAGATGTCAAGAGAGCCTGTTGATATAAGGATTATGTGAATCTCTGGCAGCAACTTGCTTAACAGGGGAGCCGCCAGAAGAGTAGTTTTTAATAGGGTCAGAAACAAGTCAAATCTTTTGCTGAAGTTCTACAAGTATATGTATATATTTCTCTCGTACCCCTCCCCCCATCCTCCCGACTATAACTTCTTAAATGTATGTCAAATTGTGGGCCTAAGGAGGCTTCACTGTGTCCCTTTATAATCACTTTGGCATTGCATTGTATTGCTCCATGCCAGACATTGGATGGTATTTAGTTCTGACTGCCTCAGGTTCCTCCATCTGTACAGGTAGTGAACAGGTTGAAACATACAGTAGTGACTGTAAGGGAGAAGAGAAAATGGAGAAGAGTAATAGAGGAAAGGAGAGTGAGAACAAGAGGACAGAGAAAAAGAGAGATGATTGAGATAAAAATAAAATGGTATCATTAGGTAATGTTAGCTTAGATATGTATTTTCTTGTGCATGTCTTTTTTGTTACAAAATAAAGTCCTCACCCCTGTGACTGTTCTTACACCAGATGTTCTTATTTTTAAAGAAATGTACAATGCTAAGCTCTTTCATGTCTATGCTTTACTTAGGTATTTACTCTCGATGTCCCAGATGCATTCTTCTGCTGTTACAGTCCAACTGTGGAAAAGGCAAATGGTAAAGATGCCATCATGGAAGCAATGGCTGAACAAATTGTTACATTATGTGCAACTTTAGAGGAAAACCCAGGAGTAAGATATAAAAGGTAGGGCAGAAAATAGTGTTAAATATATGTAGGGTTTTCAGTGTTATGACTTCCTACTTGCAGTGCTGTTTAGAAACAGCAATGTTCCATCTTCTGATATGCTTTTAATGAAAACATAATATTTTATCCTTAACTATAATTAAATAAGTTGATGTTGGTCCACGTATAGAGTAAGTGTGGTGCAGATTGTTTTTGCTTATCTTGAGCATTTGACAACTCTTTGTATATAGTCAGTCTCAGTGCTTTTGTTGCTGGTCACTTGCACGTACTGTCTCATTTGCTAGTGTGACATCATTTTCATGTACTACTTTTTTGGGGGGGTGGGGGAGGGGGATTTGCATGTATCCTGTTCCCCAGGTTCTGCATGAGTGTTTTACCAGTAACCTAGCAACAGAACGTGTTACTAAATTTGAGCCTAGGAGACTGTCTCCTTTTTCTGGGATCCCTGCATGGATTTGGGAAGCAACAGGAGCCAGAGGAGAAGGGAAAAAGCTACGGTTTGAGATCGGGGGGGCGCCTAAGGAGCAATCGGAGCGGAGTCGAGAGTCCCCTTCCCTTTCTGAACCTCTCCAGAGAACAGGGAGCAATTGATCCTTGGGGACCAAGAAAGTTCCCAACCTCTATTCTCCCGGAGCCCTTTGCGGGTCATAGGGAAGGATTTAAACAACTGCTGTTGAGGTGGGAAATAAATGTGCTCAGGCTTGCCTCTCTCTGTTTCAAGCTGCCCAGTCTCCTTAGCTGAAAAGATGATTAAAAAAATAAGCAGGAGCAGAAAAAAACCTTCTAAAAATTAAAATTTGAAAGTTTAAAGATAACACACTTTTAAAGAGTACTATACAGAAACTTAATTAAAAAAGATAAGTTGTCCCTTTAGTTTTCTTTCTTTTCATTGTGCCCGGTGTGGGGTAGTGAGTAGATATTCTGAGCTCTAGCATTGAATTTTTGAGCTTTTTATGGATGTCAGTCTTACTGGTAACTTTAAATCCATTTTGGTTTTGTTTTAATATTGGTTGTTCTATTCAGAGATAATTACAGTACAAGCCCAGACCAGTTGGAATGGTGCCATTTATTTAAATAGTATTTCATTCTCAGGTAAAATAGTTAAGCAAAAACTGCCTGCCTGCCTATTAGCTGCTTAGACCTGAAGAAGAGGAGCTCTGTGTAAGCTTGAAAGCAGAAGTTGGTCCAATAAAAGATATTACCTCACCTACCTTCTCTTTAGTAGCTACTTACTCTTTCTGGAGCCAGGAGGTCTGACTTTTTATATGTTTGAACACATCCTTAAAGTTATACTTGTGTTTAAGTGTTCTGCGTAAGGATGCTCTTCTGAATCAGGGCCTAAATGCATTAAAACTTCTCAAGCATCTTTGATATTTTCTGATCAAAGGCATAATAGAAATGCAGATTATTAAATTTCTCTACCACTTCACCATACAGTCTCTAAAGCTATCATTTCCTATAATATACTAAGAACAAAGTACTAAACAAGCTTGTGTTTAAATAGTAAATTAAAAGTAGAAAAAGTTTCCTGGTTGGTTTTTTTTTGTGTGTGGTGTGGGCACATAACTTTTTACACAAATTTTCAACAAGCAGCATTCTTTTACAGTTAAATGCTTAAAGGATTTTGACAGTTAAACAGCCTTTAGGTTTATGGTTTATCTTATAGCATCTAAACTAAAAATTACTATAAATCTGAATATTATATGGTGTAACACATTGTTATTTGTGATTAGCTTTGCAACTAGAATTATGGGGAGAAACACTGAAATTTTTCACTCAAGTATTTCTGCAACCAGAATTGAATAACCATCCCATTATTGTTCTTTCGCTCTTCTTATTGACTATTGTACATGTAGGTAAGACTTGCTATCCATTATATTAGCTATCCATTTTGGTCTTGCTTATGTTTCTTTAAAAAACACCTGTGTACACTTTGTTTTGAATACAAGATAACAATTTAGGGCTTGATCATACAGATATGTGGGCTTGATAGGAAAATAAGAATGAAATGCTAACGGGCTTTGGAGCTGTGCTCCGGCTCCACTCCAGCTCCAGGCAAAAACCTGCTGCTCCGCGCTCCATCTCCGGGCTCCGCTCCAAAGCCCTCCATGCTTAAGTGTGTTTAGGAGTAAGCTCTTAAGCTGTTTTATGTCATAGTTGAGGGAAAGTACTGTAAATTTGCATTATGGCAAAAATGTGTTTGAAATGTTTCAAAATTAAGTAGGAGTTCTGAAACTACAGGTGTTTGAAGGTAAGTAGTTGCATTATAGAACACTGACACTAAAATGTCTTATAACAGAAATTTAATAAACAATATTTGAGGCGTTTTCTTTTTTTCCCCCTCCAGCAAGCCATTGGATAATGCCAGCAAACTTGCAGAGCTAGTTGAAAATAAGCTTGAAAACTACTATAAAATTGATGAGAAAAGCCAAATAAAGGTAGAGTGAAAGCTACATCCCATGTTTGCTTCATTTTTGTAAACAAAGGAAATTGTTAAAGGATGTTAGACTGCTGTTTTTTTAAAAAAAAGATTTGGTTACTAAATATAGAAAACTGATTGTCCCTTCAGTTGCTTTTTGTGTAATTTAAAAACAGGTTGGAAGAGAACTTGTGCAGTAGGTTTCTTATCCAAAGAAAACAGAATTGATGCTCTATGTTCATATAATAACACACAGAGATGTCCGACCTGGAGGAGGGTTGCCAGACTAATAAATGGGTGGTGCAGATCAGAGGGAAAATGCATGATTTTGACTCATCCCACTTTTTAGGGCACTGGGCAAAGCAGCGGATTATTTCAGGGGTACAATTTTCCCACTTCAGGATTCATGGAAATCCCGTTGCTGTGGGAGAACAGGGCTCTTAGAAATATGCCTACCATCCTTCATTTCTCCCACAATAGTCCCTAATAGTTTGTCATAGGTCATGTGTACAGGTGGTTGCATGCTCAGACAGTAGCCCACTGACCCAAGTGTCTCTGATTCCATGGCATTCAGCTCAGCCACAAGAATAAATGCAACTGAGTCCCCTGTGCCGCCAATAGATACTCCACCCAACCCAAGCATGAAGTACTTTTCTAGTGTTTGGGGAAATGAGATGGGCACAACCACCAAGAGACTGGGAGCAGAAACAGGAGCAAACAAGATAAGAGAAATTCAAAAAGAAGAAAAAGATCTATTGGGGGAAGGAAGAGCCTCTGATAAAAGGGTTGGGAACCAGTCATGCATTCTGGGACCTCTGGTGCCATTCTGAATTCTCAGTTTGGTCCTGTCTTGCTGACCTTCTGACTTGATCAAAGCGCTGAGGTTTTGTGATGCTGATCTTCTAGTGACTCCTAAAGAACTTAATTTTGAATCCACATCAAGATCAGCTGGTTATCACATTTAAAATTGTAAGTTCTCTTGGTCTAGGATTCAGATAATATCCATGTTTCTGTGTGTCAAGCCTAAGACATGCTTGTTTTCTGTTTTGTCCAGTTCAAAAGGGATTTTTGCTCTTGAGGTGAAAAGTGAAAGGATTGTAGTGTGCCTGAAAACCCAATACATAAACATCCTGTATGAACGCATATTGTCTTTAAACAGAGAGCTTCCTCTGTTTCGTGGCTGAGTAGTAGCTGGGCCAGCTTGGTATAGCTAATGACAACTTAACTGTAATGGGTTTTTGAATTTAAAAAAAAAAAAAAAAAAAAAAATCTTGCTCTTGATCAGAGAATAAACCGTCCTGGCACTCTATAGGATTTTCCAAGAAGGCTTAGAATGTGATTTGGTTGCTTCAAATAGATTTGGAGCATTGTAGCTTTGTACAGTATGCCTTAAAAGTTTTTCTGTCCTGATGTTTTTAGGGTAAAACCCACTCCCAGCTGTTAATAATTGATCGTGGCTTTGACCCTGTGTCCACTGTACTCCATGAACTTACCTTCCAAGCAATGGCATATGATCTGCTACCAATTGAAAATGATACATACAAGCAAGTATAACTTTTTGTATCTAAATACTTCATTCTGACTTGAGTTTAGGAACTGTCTTTGATATCTGCTTTATTTGTACAATTATTAAAGGTGAACTACAAAGGGAATTATTTGCTATTTTACTTCTTTATGCTGTATAAAGATGGCTACAGTTTATTTAAAAACTTTTTTTCTTCTGTCCTCTCTTTGCCAGAGATTTTTGATTGGTTACATTGTCTTGAAGCTTCTGAGTGGCCCTTCAAAGATACGGCCCCAGTAGTAAGACTGATTTGGTGTGGGGAGGGTGTCACAGAGGTATGGATAACTATGGCAGGAGGGGGAAATGTCCATAGCAGCAACAATTCTTGGCTTATCCTATGATCAGAAAAATTAATACATCTAGCTGATGTAGCTATATTTACTACCCTAATCTGAAATCTTAATTGGTGACTAGTAGAGCTGAATTTTTTTTATATTTATTGAAGTTGAGATCCAGGTATGAGCTCTGCAACTTGGATCTAATTTAGTTCCACCTTATAGGATACAAGTCTCATAAATCTTGAATCTGCTTCCAAATTTGTTTGTCACAAACAAGTCATCATACTTCTGCCATGCTATCAGGCAACCTTTGTGGGATGCATTTCAGATATCTGAGAATCTGCTAAAGAACTATATATCAAATGGAAATTTACAAGAGTTTCAGAAATAATGCGAAGCTTGCAACATTTATTTATATTTATATTCTTACGAGTCTGAAACTTATTGATTAGATTTTTATCCAGTAGGTAAAGCCACTATTTTACTTTTTTTTTTTTTTTTTTTTAATTAAGTTTGTATTTTTCTCTTTCTACTGCCTTCTGGTTTAACCACTATTTGTGAGTTTCTGCAACTATATCCAAATATAAATGAAAGTATTGTGTCATAAGATATCTAATATGCATCATATTCCGTCTGTTCACAGAAAACTGCTTAATAATTGAAATCTGTGATGCTAAGCATGCTAGCTGTAGATTTATGTGGAGTAATTAGTCCACAAAAGTCTATTCTGTAGCTATACATGGAGTTTGTAGACACAAGTCCTTCTGCACCTCCAGAGGTGTATAGACGTCTAATGCTATCTATATTTTGTCATCTCCAATGGGTTGACTTTGCACACAACTTCAATTCAAAAGGAGAAAATCAAAAACCTAGAGGAAATTAAAGTGCATGTAAATCTGTTGTGTTTTTTTTTTTTTTTTTTTTTTTTAAACCAACAACCTACAGAATATTCAAAGGATAAGCCAGGATGGATTTCCAGCTTTAACTAGTTTACTGCATAAGAAAATTATTCTAAAATTAATGTAATTTTGCCTTAATTATTAAGGACTTTGGATCAGCCTTAACTTTTCCTGAGCATTATGCATAAAATATGCTTAAAATAGTACATATTGTTTCAGAACCACATTTCTTTTTAAAAAAGAAATCATCTTTGTGCATTACCTGCCAATGTTAAAAATAGTTATTTAACTTTTATTTTACATGTTCTGTTGCTTTTATGTAAAGCATACATTAGAAATACCTAATTTCACAACCTGATTTCCTGTCTGTAGATATAAAACAGATGGACCCAGTGGAAAGGAAAGGGAGGCAATTCTGGAGGAGGAGGATGAGCTCTGGGTGAAAATTCGGCACAAGCATATTGCAGATGTGTTAGAGTATGTGAATACGTTCTTGATGTTTATGATACTTTATACATTTCAGGGATATTATTTAATTAGAAAATACTACAGTAAAAGAATTGACAAAGGTATAAAGACATTGAATAATTATAGAAAGATTACAGATTTGTAAGGGGAAAAGATTATCTGGTTTGGCCAGCTATTAAGGGAAAATAGTATTTACAGACCTCTCAGTGCTGTACACATTTAAATTCTAGTGTCCAAAAACTGATGATAGCAAAATAACTCAAATGTATGTAAATCATATACCAATATTTATTAAAATCCTTTAGAAATTAAAATTATTTGTATATCTTTCAAAGATGATGAGACTTCACAATCTTCATCTAAATTTTGAGGAGGAAATTTAGAATTCAAGAAGCACTTAGCTTTGCCATGAATTGAGAAAAGAGATTTCATTCCTATCCAAAATGAGTATATTTTTGCAGGATGGAATACCAAAATGTTTGCCTTAACTTGATGGTATTCCTACTGAGAATATTTAGCTTTAGTCTTCTACCTAGAAATGTATGGAAACACGTATCTTTTATCTATTTTTTAAAACCTCATTTTTCACTAAAAACCAGTTATGATAATTGGAAACCATAAATCTCTTGCGTTTACTACTTTATCATACTGTTAATTTAATTTATAACTAATAAATTACTTGTTTCAGATTGTAAAGCATTCCTTTACTTTCTTAATCTGACAGGGAAATTCCAAAACTTTTGAAAGAAGTTTCATCAAAGAGAAAAGCAACAGAAGGAAAAGTAAGAAATAGTTACTTATTACTGACTTATTGTTAAATATTTTTTTCTAATGTTTAATTGCTTGCCTAGTGTATTTTTCAACAAGGTCAGTTTAAAATTCTGTGTTTGGTTATTGGTTCTTAACCTACCTGAGAAATTGATATGAGTTTCTCAGCTGTGGAGTTGGGAAATCCCAGCCTCCAGCAGTAAGGGAAATAAATAAAATTGTATTTGTTGAATAAGAAACATCAGTTCATTTTAAACTCTGTCCTGTTATCACAGTTATCACTAAGTAATCTGGCCCAGCTAATGAAAAAGATGCCACACTTCCGTAAACAGATTACCAAGGTAAGCAGCATCCTGTACATTGCTACACTTTGCTTGTCAACTGTTCTCACCAATTAATATCTCTGGTTTTAAAGGCTATATTTTTATGATTTTAATTCAAGAACCTTAAGGTGGAAAAATCTGTTGGTTTGTTTTTTTTGTTTGTTTTTTGTTTTTTATATTGAGCTTTTGTCATGCATGGTTTTATATTAGGTGCTTCATATTTTTGTTCTCAATGAACACATTTTTTGAGGAGTAAGTCCACTTCCAAGTGTGACTGCTTTTTTTGTCAATATGAAATGTTTAAAGCCTTCTGTTGGATGAATTCATACTCTTTTTAAGTAAACTAATGCACTTGGATTATGATTGTAGATACCTGTCTGAACAACTAATGCTTCGCAGTATTGCTTTTACTTTCTCTTTATATAGCAATGATGAATGGAAGAAATGTTTCAAATTAATAAGATCAACACACAATTAGTATATTGTCAAACTTAACTTTACACCATGGTATTTTATTTTCTTAGTAAAGATTCTAAAGTTAAGTAGTGTAAGATGCATCAATTAAAACTGAAATGAAACCCCTATCTGCAAAAATACACATCTAAAGGAAACTACGGAAGCATGATCATGTTCTCACTTGACCTGTAATCATAAGTTAACAGGTGTGGCTAATCGTAAACCCACTGCAGAATCTTCATGTATTATAGAAATTAAAAACAGAGACTTAAAAAGATGTACTGCTGTTGCCCGCATTTCCCCTTAAAGATGTTCTGGACTCCTGAGTGAGATCAGGTTCCAGCCAGTTGCATATCTCGACTTTATCACTTAAGCTGGTTGAGGGAAAGAGGTCTCCTATAGATGAATAATAGTACCTAGAAGTCTAATAAACCATCTTTCTTTGTGAATGGCACTCTCCTGGTGCACTTTTTGTTTTTTCACTCCATGGAATAGAGTAGTGACATTGCAGATAGAGACTAGCAGATGATAAACTTGAAATTCTCAAGTTTAATTACCTAATCAAACACCTAAAGAATCTTCGGTTGTGGTTTTAAAGTGTCATCTTCATTTTTTATTTTTGGTATTGCCTTCAGTCAAAAAACAGCAACATCCAGGGTCAAAACTTGCATTTGATACATTTATTAACTCTAATATTTAGAAAATCATATTTTGTATCTTAGTTATTTGTGAGAAGACATTCTAATGGGCTAGAATTTGAGATAATCCAGATGAATTTAATCCTCTCTCATGATTTCACAGCATTGAAATACTCAAGTTATTGGATTTGGTAAAGGAATATTTCAAAATTCATAATTATAAAGCGGCCTTATACAAAAGCCTAATGGAGTGACATCAGCTTGTAATCAGTCACATTGTGCTTTTCTGGAAGGATGTAAGGGATTAGTCAAGTAGGGTGAGGCAGTCACCGGAAACTTGCAAAATATAGAATCATAAGCTAATTCCCATATCCTAAGTGAAGGTCATAAGTCAACACTTCCCTATTTTAGGCCACAAGGTTCTTCACTTATTATAGGCTGTTGATTGAGATTTTTTTGAGAAATGAGAAATTAGTAAAGGGGGAGGGGGACCTCAATTCCAATAATTTCATTGTAGATTTTGTAACTACAATTTGATTATCAAAATTAATTTAGACAGTCTCTTCCTCCTTGCACTTTAATCAGACTGATGGCTGTTATGGAGATATGTGAACATTAGGCTTCCTAAATTTCATGTCTTTGGGACTGATCTCCACCTTGTCACGACACAGCAATTTCTGCTTGGTGTTTTAGTGCCAAGACGGGTCATCTAAACTGTATTTGGCTATAGCTACCAATCATACAGATTACTACCTTCCTTAACCTGCAGCTGTCATAGTTATAGTCTTAACAAAACAAACAAACAAAACTGCACATGCAAAAGTTTCTGCCTTTGAAAACCAGGAATTTGATCCTTACTGAAAAAGCCATCACTTGTTCTAAGTAAAACACATAAGCATGAGGTGGTTACAAAATTAAGCTCAGATAGTCAAAAGATGACTGTGTAACTAGTAAAAATGAACTAAATTGTACTCCTGCTATGACTGAACTATGTGAAAAGAAGTAAGTTACGATGTTTCTCTTACAGCAAGTAGTCCATCTTAACATAGCAGAAGATTGCATGAGTAAGTTTAAATCCAGTATAGAAAAGCTGTGCAAAACTGAACAGGTATGTGAAAGTTGTTAGTGTAAATAAATCTAATGTTTGCAGTCTATGCAGAAATAGTCATTTTCATAACACTAATTTTGTAGCTTGTATCTGCCTTTTTCATGTCTGATTTTTTTTTTTTTAATTGTCTACTCTTGAGTAATCTTACTGTAAGACTTCATCCCCGAGGTTCCTATCCTGTCAATATTTAAGTCTCTGTTAAAAGACCTACCTTTGCCTATGGGTAATCTAGTTGACCTTTTTATTTAAAAAAAAAAAAAAAAAAAATCCCAACTTGTTTTTTCTCTTTCCCTAATTTCTTGTCCAGTTATGTCTCACCTTAGATTATGAGCTCCTCAGAGCTGGTACTCCCCCTTTCTGAATGTATAGAAAGCAGCTTGTATGCTGTGGGCACTACCATAAACAAACAAGCTAATACTGTTAACCTGAAGTATGAAGTACAAAATCATATTTAAAATGTTTAAGCTTATTCTTTAATATTATGAACATAAAGACTCTCTTATAATTGCAAAATATAACATGGGTATAAGAAGCAACTTTTGTTATAGTGGTCTTTGGTCTGGAACTTGGTAATACAACTTTAAACAAAATCTGACCAAACTTTTACAATATTTACAATGTAAAAGCTCTTCAGTTTTGAAAATGTTCATATTCCGGCTGTTAGTTTCATCTGTACAGACAGGGCCCTTACTGACAACTGTGTTTAATTATAGCTGAAATTCTTTGGCAGAGCTGTTTTCTAACAGGATTTGACTGGCCAGCGTGGACTGTCAAAATTGTTTTGCTACAGAGTTTAAAAAATACAAGCTCTGATACCACAGTTGAAATACACAACTATAATAGTTTAGCATAGCTGTTTCAATTGTGTAGACACAGGACCTTTGGTTTAAGTTCAGTGTTAACAGAGTCATTAGTGAAACTCTTCCATCACAACCACCATGGTGGTAATGTTTGTAAAGTTAGTGGTAACTCGCATTTTGCTGGAACTAAATACAGAAACACAAACTGATGCTATTTGTTTTAATGATTGGTCACTAAGACCACTTTGTTTGCTTTTCACTTAGGATTTAGCTCTTGGAACTGATGCAGAGGGCCAAAAAGTGAAAGACGCAATGAGAGTCCTTCTTCCAGTTCTACTCAACAAAAACCATGACTCTTATGATAAAATAAGAGCTATACTCCTTTATATCTTCAGCACAAATGGTATGATAAGTTGCTTTGTTTTTCAATATGTTATAGATTTCAATACTAGGTTTTAGTGCAGAGACCAATACTGGGTATGGACCAGTCATACTAGGCCATGGCAGGTTAAAAGGAAATGCTGCCATAACATGTAGCCTCTTTTCCCCAGATGCCTCTTGAAGAGGTTGCTCATACAGGGCTAGAAGTGATACAGCACAACAAGCAAGCACATTTATGTTTTACAATAGCTTATCTGAGCAGCATCTCAGTACTTGGTATGTGGGATATTTTCTTGAATTGTCCCTTCCTTACCCAGGTCAGTGTTTGGAGGATTTGGGGTGGGATTTGCTGTTAGGTGCATCCTGGGAGTGGATGGGGAAGAGTGGTGAAAAGAGACTGGAGAGGAGAATGCATTCCTGAGCTCTCAATCATAAGCACTGAGTAGCACAAACTTAGGTAACTGATAATGTGATTAAGCTTTGAATGAGGTTTGACTTGCCTTTCCTTCCACCTCCGTTTCCCCAAAAGTGAATTATTTTGCCAAGTGGGACCTTGGACCATTAAGATCTGCTGTACTGGACCCAGAAATGTACTGATTGCTGTTGGAGTAAAGGAAATAGAGGCTCCTATAGAGATTTGAATGTATTCTCAAAGATTGGCATGAAGTGACATTTGAATTTTCAAGTATTTATTTCAGTATCTGAAGCAGATTATGGTAAATTTAAAAGGATAGATTTATTATGAACTATCAAATAAATATATCCTAGTTTTTAAATCAAAAATCCTGTCATGTCTGGGACCAAGAGCTAATTTTATCCTAAAGTATCAGATGGCCTTGTTAATTCAAAATCTAACTTACTCATTTTTTTCTTTGTGGCAAAAGGAACTACACAAGAGAATTTGGACAAACTGATCCAGAATGTACAAATAGAAAGTGATAGCGACATGATAAAAAATTGGAAATACCTTGGTGTACCTGTTGTGGTCTCGGTAAGTGTTAAGTGTTGAAGGCTGGAATGTTGTTGCTGTGGTAACGCTATCCAGGGGCCACTTAACTGTTCCAGCTGCTCAGTGCTTCTGTTCTTGGAGCTCTGATATTATTAGCTCTAGCAGACAATTCAGCCTGCTAATTCAGCAGGCCTCGGTGTTACTCGTAAAGAAAGACCACAGGCATGGTTCGGTGACAGAGGCACTTGACCAGATTTAGTATCTTCAAGCACAGTACTAGCATCTCATAGGAGCTGTGGGTACACTAACATGAGAGCCCAGTGGCAAAGAGTGGCTCAGTCAACAGCAGGAATTTCTGCTGTCCCCTCGGCTGCACAAAGAGTTAAGGCAGGGATGGGCAAATTTTTTGGCTCGAGGGCCACATCTGGGTGGGGAAATTGTATGCACGGCCATGAAAGTAGGGCTGGGGCTGGGGGTTGGAGTGCAGGGTGTGGTATGGGGTGCAGGAGAGGGCTCAGGGCAGGGGGTTGAGGTGCAGGAGGAGTGCGGCAGGCATTGGGGGCTCAGGGCAGGGGGTTGGGGTGTGGGAGGGATGCAGCAGGGGGATCAAGGCAGGGGGTTGGGATGCAGGAAGGGTTTGGGGTGCTTACCTTGAGCAGCTCTGGGGTGGCAGCAGTGCACAGCAGGACTAAGGCAGGTTCTCTGCCTGCCCTATCCCCACGCCGCTCCCGGAAGTGGCCAGCATGTCTGGCAGTGGCTCCTGGGGGTGGGGTGGGGCAGGTGGCTCTGCCGCGTACTGCCCTTGCCTGTGGGAACCACCCCTGAAGCTTCCATTGGCCACAGTTCCCCGTTCCTGGCCAGTGGGAGCTGTGGGGGACGGTGACTCTAGGCGAGGGCAGTGCACAGAGCCCTCTGCCCCCTCTCCTCCTCCCACCCCCAGGGCTGCAGGGACATGGTGTGGGTGGCTTCCAGGAACGGTGTGGGGCCAGGGCAGGCAGGGAGCCTGCCTTAGCCCCACTACGCCACAGGGCTGGCAATCCCGCGGGCCGGATTGAAAGCCCTGACGAACCGGATCCGGCCCACAGGCCATAGTTTGCCCACCTCTGGGTTAAGGCAAGGTTCCCCGACATTTATAGACCTGAGACAAACAATTTATGGACCACCTTACATGTTTCATGACATCTGCTTGTTACCTCCCCTTGTACCTTGCTCTAGATGTCTCGGGCCAAACATCCCTGTTCATCACTTCTGTCGAACCCTCTTATCTGGTGTTAGGTCAGGATGTACCTGGGCTAATATGTTGGACGGACACCCTCACCCCCACCCCCTTGCTTCTTAGGAGTGCCTGTGTTTTAGCAACATTAGCAGTACCTTTGCCAAGGTCATGTATCAGAGTGTACTTGTAAGCATGTACTTTAATACATGGCCTGACTTTGGTTCACAGTCTCTGGTTCGGGCCTCAGGTCTTGCACCAGGTAGAGTGCTCCAAGCTCTCTCTCTCTCCTACAGTAAGAAATACTGCATTTTTTCCATTTAGCTCTAAGGCTTTTTCTGCAACTCTTAATATGGCATTCCACATTTTTCTTGGGAGAATCTAGAAGTTACAGAAGTTAGTTATTTTCCTAGGAATTCTTGAGAAATTCTCACTACTAACATTTGCGACATATCTAACTTTTAAAACAGTATGCTGGTTTTACACTTGATAGTTTTCCAAGTAATATCTAACATTTTTACAAAAATAATCTTATTTTGATGCAAGCTGTTTGTTCCATAACTTGTCAAAGTTATGCAGGCTTTGAGTATAGTGTAATGTAATGTCTGAACTCAAAGTTTTCGTACACTTAATTTTAAGAATCTGATCATTTAAGTGAGATAGGCAGTCCTCATAGTAACAAAAAAAAATTCAATTTTTTGTTTTATAACTTAATCATACTTCCTGGGAAACACTCTTTATTCCCGTTTCACTGTTCTATCAAAGTGTATAGGTGCCTCATAATAAAATCTAGTACGAGGGCGGACAGGTGTGAGGTACAAAGTTTGGGGACCACTGCTGTAAACCTTAAGCTCCAGCAACTGGGCAAGAATTATATGTGGGGAGCCATTAGCTTAGCAATTGTAGAATATACACTTCAGCATTCAAACAATCACTTTTTTGGGTAAATATCCAGCTCTTTGTTTCTGAAATAGAGGTTTCCAGTACTTAATTTTGAATTGCAGCTGAAATGTACTCTACATACTTTAATGCACATGGTGCAATATTTCCTTAGAACTTCCTGTTTTGTTGGGAATGATTTAAAAGAAATAGTGTAATAAAACTATAGCCTCTCTTTTAAAAAAAAATTTTTTTTAAATCTTTATTTAGTCTGCTTCTCAGCAACGTAGACAATCAAGGAAGGACCGCTCTTCAGAAGAAACATTTCAGCTTTCTAGATGGACACCTGTTATCAAAGATGTTATGGAGGTAAACTCTAAGAACATAGTTGTTTCCTAGGTGCAATATAGCTTATAAAGTACTTAAGAATATTTCTAACAGTTTATCCAAGATGATCTTTTGAAATGGCATTATAAAAGTTTTGAGTTAATTATATTTTATATTCCATAAAATTTTCTTAAGAGGAAAGTTCTTTAGACATGTGCACATAACCATTAAATTTCTAGTTAGTATATTAAAATAAAAAATTAAATGTATAAGGTAAACTTAGTTTTAAGTATAACTGGAAAATAGTTTAAAGCTAGCTGAAATAAACTAAGGTAGAGGGAGACATTTGAATTTCTTCTCCAGTGGCTGATAGTTTGATATTGGCTTCTTTAAATTAAACTCCGTGTGTGTGTGTAAAGTGGATCTTTAGACTATAGTTTAAATGTTAAATTCATGTAATGGATGCCATTAGTCACCTGGGAAATCCATGCAAAGTTAGTAGTGTAGTTTGTCTTTAGAAACTCGGACTTCCCATATATACATACATACCCACATAATTTCTTTGTGGAGAAATTAAGTAGGTTAATGCAGTTATACATAAAAAAAATCAAAGATGAAATCTGAACAATTAAATCAATGTTGTGTTTAAAAATTAGTTAGAGATTACTTCCCGCTGTTTTTCTTCCTCGTCGTGATACACGGCGTCTAAGTCACAAATGACTTTCAGCACTCCAGTAATTAAATATAGATGTGGTGTGGTGCTTTAGTCTTTTTCACAGTAGGAGCACTGGTTCTTGTGAAATCTGTTTTGACTTGTCACTGCTTCTGGATTGAAGTTCTAAACCAGCCAGTCTTGTTAGAAGTTGAAATTTATGGGGTTTTGTATATGTATTGTGTTTCAAGTTAACATAACTTGGTTAAAATGAATATATATTTTTCCCCCCCTCCAGGATGCTATAGAAAACAAACTAGATTCAAAAGAATGGCCTTACTGTTCCCAGTGCCCTGCATCCTGGAATGGTTCAGGGGCAGTAAGGTAAATTGTTACAATTTATATTCAGGATAATAATTTACTATTCTCACTATATTTTCTTACGTGCATTGTATAACTTTCATTTTGAGAAATGATGCCCAGTAGGGCTGAAGTAACTATTTAGTATAAAATGAAATCTACTAAAAAGCATTTCAGTTAATCTCTGGAGCTTTGCTGTATGACCCTCAAGTTAGTTACTTATATAGCTCATAATTGTAGTTTGAGTGCCTCGCACATATTTGAAATAAAAATAACATCTTTCTTACCAGAATTAAGTCACCTTTAGGAGAGTTAGCTTGAGTAGTTTATAAGTGGTGATTTGTGTGTGACTCTGTGTCTTGTGTCTGTATTAGGCTGAAGAAATGTGTTTTTTGCATTTAGTTCTGAAAGTGACAGTTCCCATCATTATTTTTTCAAAAGAGTGAAGTCTGTAGGCTAGGTCTGAGTTTTGTGAAAGTTCTGTCTCCTGTACTCTCAAGCCTCCCCTTACTGAACAATTTAATTATCCTAGTGGAATTTAACTCTTGTGGAAATCAGTGGCCCTAGAGAGAGAGGTGATCACTGGTAGCTAAGTCCAGTCCCATGGAAGTCTTTGAATATCAGACAGCTAGCATGGAGAGTATAGTGGAGGGTGTGTGTGTTTATATATTCAGTGAATCTTTGCATAGTACCGCTTAAAGCTTTTTTCAATGTGTGGATTCAGATGTGAGTTGCAATAATCAATGTTGGATGTCACAAATATTGATCATTGTAGGCAGGTCTTTGTCTGATAGGTAGGGGCACAATTTTCTGGCTAGTCACAGATTTGAAGTTGGGTGTCTTTTGGGGGCATTAGTAGTTTGCTGACCTACTGAGGTCAATGCAGTGCAAATGTAGAGACCGTGTGACCTAACAGTCCTCCAGCAGCTGTACCACACTGTCCAGCAGTCTTTTTCAGTATTGGCCAATATTCATCATGGTGCTATTTACAGCTAGGTATTGAGAAGACAGTGATGTTTGTCTGACTTAAAGAAGATGAACCCTTTTTTTGGGAAAGGTTTAATTGGATCATTCGCATTCAGAATTTTCAAGCTTTTCTCATAGAAATGTAGATTTTGAGAGAGAGAGAGAGAGAGAGAGACCAGGTGTATCTCAAATTTCTCACTTGTATTTACTTTTCCCTTTTGTGATAACTGTAGGTTTTAGACTTGTATCTATGGTGTAGTACACTTTTTTTTGGTCAAATTTTTTTACGTAATCATGACTTCCCCTTGTAATTCATCCAATTATAATTTGAGTCAAAAAAGATTCTACTACACAACTGTGAAAAAGACGTGTCTAATTTTCTTTAAGTTTGCCTGAAATGTCTAATTGGTCAGACTTGCCTGGAAATTTTCTGAGACCAGGTGGGTGAGATATCTTGTTGTTGGACAAACCTTTGTTAGTGAAAGAGACAAGCTTTCGAACTGCAGAGAGCTCTTCTTCAGGTCTTGGAAAGGTAATCAGTGTCACAGCTAAATATGAGATGGAACAGATTTGTTTAGCATAAGTAGCTAACACACATTCTAAGGGACCATTGAAGGTGAAATAGCACATTAACACCTCTGCTGTCATAGGGCCAAAAACAGAGGTAGTGGGTTACAGATTTGTTGTAATAATAAAGACCCTGGATTTATGGCAGAAGACCATGATTTTTAGTGTCCAGCAAAGTTAAGAATTTAAACTCCCAGTCTCCTCTTTTGAAGGCTACAGCAACACTGCAAACCTGGAAATTTTCTGTCATTTTTACTAGTACATTACACTATATGTGGGTGATGAAACTAGATGCAATATATCACTGTGCTCTTATGTGCTCAAGTTTTCTTATGAACTATTTTACAGTGCTCGCCAGAAGTCCAAGACTAGTTACCTGGATGACCGAAAGAGTGGTTCAAAGCTGATAGTTTTTGTAATTGGAGGCATCACATACTCTGAGATACGCAGTGCTTATGAAGTTTCTCAAGCCTACAAATCTTGTGAAGTTATTATTGGTAAGCCTGTCTAGGGAAGAGGAAGTAGTAGATGAGATGAGGTGCTTCATTTGAGCCTAATGATGTTTAGTTTTTAAGTGCATTTTTGAAAAACAAGCATATTTTTCTGCGTCCCCTAGGTCAGTCTAGAAAAAGCATCATATGCCCACTATGCTCTTTTGAAACTACATCCAGTATCCCTAGATCTGAATTGGTCCTTTATGGCTATTGCCTTCGTTTCTTGTTCTAAAAAGACACATTCCCACAGTTACCCTGAAAATCCCGAAAGAAGAATTAATAACCAATGTGAGACAATTCAGACCTCAGTCTTGCTGCTGAAATGTAGTATCCTAATTTCTAAATTACTGAATCAGATGTATGACTCACAGGAGTCATGCAGATGATCGCTAAAGGTACGCATTACAGTGAATCTCCTGACAACTGTTTTGTTTCATCTTTGCATTCACTTGCACCTAGCCCATTACTGAACTTGTTGCAGTTACTGTTACCAGCTGAAATTGGAAAACACAAACCAGAGTAGTGCAAAAATATTACGGACTTAGAAAATTTTTCTGCAGTAATAACTGAAATGGCTACAGTTTGGCCCAGAACTTTTGGTAGCATTCTTCTAGCTCTAGCCAGGGGTCAATCATTTACTTCTGATGAAGTCCACATAATCCTAAGAATTGTAGTGGTTCCTGGTTGTTTCATGACACATGCCAAGAATTGATTTTACCAGTGTAGCTGCTGCAGGAATTATTGGAGATAGCTCTTCTACCAGCTGCTGTTGCTCTGTCTAGATAGCAGTTAAAAATCTTATAGTATGTGTCAGAGGAGTAAAACTTCACAGTTTAAAAAAAAAAGTTTGATATCCAGAGCTGATGCTGAGAGAGGGCATAATGGTGGCTATTATTGTCCCAGACACCACAAGAAGGAAGACAGGACACCAGGAATGTGGTTTAACTAGGCTGCAACTTTAAGTAACACATCAGGAAACCATCCAACAGCAACTACAGAGGACAAATGACCTGCACTGGATGAATCTATTCTACTTGGTGAAGGGCTGCCATCAGTGTGGCTCCCCCCCCCCGCCCCCCTCAAACACATACACTCTGTTAACCTGATCCTAGTACAGCTTCTGGGACTCCATCACCTAACAGGAGGGTTAAGAGAGTGGGGGAAAGGTGTCTTCTTACTGTACCAGACAGTAGAAGCCCAGCCCCATTTGCTGCCTTCTTTAGGAGATATCTCCTAATTTACTTCCAACTCAGGTTTATCAGAGAACGCTGTTGAACAATAACCTGCACTGGGCACCTGCAACATTGTGCCAAAATGCATTTTACAACCTAGCCAACCTGTTGAGTCACTGGGCTACTGGGAGGAAGGCAAAAACCCCACTCCTCACTGCCCAGGCCACTCTTTCCTAGCCCTTAAAAGGTGACTACCGTGGTGCCTACCACACAGCCCCAAACCCTGGTGGTCCTCTGATCCCAAAAGTGGGGGAGGGAGAAGGGGATCTTTTCTTCCTGGTGCTCAGATTATGGCAGCTGTGGATAGGGGGAAGGGTTTATAGGTATGCGGAAGCAAATAAGCTGTACAAAAGAGCACAGCATAACCTTCAGCCTATTAGGCACTGATTCTCCACTTCTCAAACCCATGTGGTGGGGGGGAGGGGGAGTGGAATCCTTGGAAGGGCCCCCAAGGTTTTGTTCTCCTGCTAACACAGTCAAAGCCACCCCCTACCTTGGGGGTGGGAGGAGCATTTGCTTCCATAATCACTGCATGTCCAGCATCAAAATCATTAAAGTAAAGCATTTTAAAGTACTGTATCTAACGTATGAAAGGTACAATAAAAATACTTAACACGCAATTTTGATTTGGTAGTGAGTCATGCTGATGTCTGCAAATCATACATAGTTAGCTGCATCCATCTAAAAGTGTATTCTGTTTTACCAGGTTCCACTCATATTTTGACACCCAGAAGACTGCTGGATGATGTAAAGATGCTTAATAAACCAAAGGATACAGTTTGCATTAAGAATGAAGAGAAGTTGTAATGTTCAAGCAGTACTATTTCAGTAGTGATTAAAAATGCATTAAGAGATCACATAATATAAATAGCATGTAAATATTTGTATGGAATTAACTTTTCCAGTGATGTATTTGGGAAAGTACACACCCTCAACTAATGGAGTATCATTTTATAATTTAAATTTGCTGATTTTCTTTTTGGAGTTAAGGGCAGGAAGAAGAGGGAAAAAGTGTCTAACACCTTGTTTTTATGTTGTATTGGGTATGGACAGCATTTCACAGTAAAGTGCTTTCTGAAACTGACATCTTTACCACTGCAACAAATCATTCTAGAATTTAGAAATCATCATGTTTTGTATATATACTAATTGCTCTTTCAGTAATTATGAAAGCTTTCTATGCTGGAAACTGGAGAGGTTTTCTGAAACTGACATGAAAGTACCTAGACTTAGAGAAGTTTCAGAGGCAAAAGCTGTAAATATAAACATATGGTAAGATTATTTCACATAAGTGCAATGACTCTTGTAATATGTAAAATTCAATTAAAACAATTTATATTAAAAAAGGAAATGTATATTGTCTTGTGAAAAATCCTAGGGCAAAATATGACTGTGTTGGTGCTTTCAGATGGTAGATTATGAGGGGAGGGGAATTAATCATGGAAGTACTAACAGAAAATGGTTTTACTTTCAATAAAACTCTGGAGAACATGCTTGTCCATCTTATATGAAATGTTTCAGTGCAGTAACACTACTCTTTAAGACTTTCCCCATGTTGTTCTTCACAAAAACAAATAAGCAGCTTTGATTTATTAAAAAAATTCCCCACTATTGTGTGTGCATGGTACATCTATTTTGTAAATTGAGTTGCTTGTGAACTAATCTAATGAAGATTTCCTGGTGCCACTTCAGAGATTTCTGAGCAAAGTTTGGAAAAAAAATCTCACTTCTTCTACCTTTTTTTATTGCCACTGCATTGCAAAGTACCCCCCTCTTGTTTATTCATGTCATGTGAATACAAAAACAAAAAACACTGGAGTGGTTGTGAGTAGTTTGTCAGGGTGGAGAAAAATCAATGACTAACATAGGTTGTCAATTTCAGAATTTAATTTTAAACAGGTTTATTTTTAAATAGGAAAAGTATTTAAGATCTGATTTAAATTGGATTTTTTAAAGTGTAAACTTACTGTAATTAGTAACCATTTAAATAAAAATATGCAGAATCACTGAGCCCTCCTCAGATTTTGATGCATGAAAGGATGCTGCTTTTTTTATATATATATAAAAAAAAAAATAATTGGGGGGGATACATTCTATTTTAAAGGTCAACCCAACCATTACACACGTCATCACTGAACTGAATTAAATATTTTCAGTTTTTATAGTGGAGGAAATACTGGGGTAGTTATATATTTCCAAATGTCAGTACTTTCAATTTCTGTTGTATAGAAAAGCTTTTATTTTTGGTTTCAGTTTAGCTAGCAGATGCAGAAGGAATATTTGTCTTTATTTGGTTTAGTTCATTCAAAGTTGAAAAAGTAGAAATGCTTGTTTTCCTTTTCCAGTCTATGAATGAAAACAAGGTTGGAGAGGATAAGATCCAACTTTTCAAGATTTAAGGACATGGGGCCAGATTTTCAACCTAATTCCCATTGGTTTAAATAGGAGTTAGGCACTGGACATGCTTGGGCACTTTTAAAAATCCCACAAGGTGCCTATCTGCATCCTTTACGAACCTAAATAACTTTGAAAACTTGGCTCACAGTAACCAGAAACAGTCTGTCAATTCACTAGCTACAGTTAATGCTGCCTTTGCATTTAAAGCTGTGGTTTTTTGTTTTTAAACAAAACATGTTTGGATACACTTTCTTCTCTCTTATGTATCCAGCAGAAAGATAGTTTTTATTTAACTAATACCAATGTGTTTGTACATTTTTAATTGAGTTGTTTCCCTCCAATTACAGCTTGGCATGAAATCTAGAGTAAAATAAAGCTAGTAAATAATCATTCACTATTTTCTAACAATGTAAAAGTTAAGAATCTGAATAAATGTGTATGAATATAGTGCAGTCTCCAAATCTAATCTAAAAGCTATGTAATGTTGATTTGCAACTAATTTCAGTGGTAATGAACCTTTCTTCAGAAAATCTAATTGAAGTACAAATGCAAAACATGATTAAAATAAATTTGAATAACAATTTCCTGCTCCTTGACTTAAATCATGATAAAATTTGGTGTTTTAAAATGAGTGTTGGAACAACTTGTATAGTGGGGGTGCTGAGAGCCATTGAACCAAACTGTAAACCCTGTATATGATGGAAATCACTTCAAGCCAGGGGGTGCGGCAGCACCGCTAGTTCTAGCACCTATGTTTTAAAATGCTAATATGAATCTGTCCTCTCTGGTTTGTTTAAATGGTTTGTCCCCCATCCCTACAGCTGCACAGAACAAAAGCATGTGGTTTTAATAACCTAAATCTAGCATTTTGCTCTTGCAAAAGGCTAATCCAAACAGTGGCTAATAAGGATTGCCAATTAACTGGCTGTACAGAGATGCTTGACAACAAGAAATCTGATTATTACTATAGTCCAAAAATAATTACTGTAGTTTCTCATGTTTTAGAATTGTTGCATTACATGTAAACTAAACATTTACCTTTTTTAAAAAAAAAATTGCTAAGCTTTACCACTTTCTCTACAGTGGCAGTGATTAGTTTTAACTAATAGAAAAAATAGCTATGCTGCAGTTAAACGGAAAAAAAAAAAAGCTCACTTGCATATAAATCACAAAATGCTAGTGGCTCACTCAAAGCCAAAGTAGGGTGTATAACATTTTGCATGAATTGTGACCATCTCAGTATCTTATGGGACATAGAATCATAGGACTGGAAGGGACCTCGAGAGGTCATCTAGTCCAGTCCCCTGCACTCAGGGCAGGACTAAGTATTATCTCGACCATTCCTGACAGGTGTTTGTCTAACCTGCTCTTAAAAATCTCCAATGATGGAGATTCCACAACCTCTCTAGGCAATTTATTCTAGTGCTTAACCACCCTGACAGGAAGTTTTTCCTAATGTCCAGCCTAAACCTCTTTTGCTGCAGTTTAAGCCCATTGCTTCTTGTCCTAGCCTCATAGGTTAAGGAGAACAATTCTCCCTCCTCCTTGTAACAACCTTTTATGTGCTTGAAAACTGTTTTCATGTGTCCTCTCAGTCTTCTCTTTTCCAGACTAAACAAACACAATTTTTTCAATCTTCCCTCATAGGTCATGTTTTCTAGACCTTTAATCATTTTTGTTGCTCTTCTCTGGACTTTCTCCAATTTGTCCACATCTTTCCTGAAATGTGGCACCCAGAACTGGACATAATACTCCAGTTGAGGCCTAATCAGCAGCGTAGAGCGGAAGAATTACTACTTGTGTCTTGCTTACAACACTCCTCCTAATACATCCCAGCATGATGTTCGCTTTTTTTGCAACAGTGTTACATTGTTGACTTGAATTAAGCTTGTGTTCCACTATGACCCCCAGATTCCTTTCCACAATACTCCTTCCTGGGCAGTCATTTCCCATTTTGTATATGTGCAACTGCTTGTTCCTAAGTGGACAACTTTGCCTTTGACCTTATTGAATTTTCAACCTATTTACTTCAGACCGTTTCTCCAGTCTATCCAGATCATTTTGAATTTTTATCCTATCCTCCAAAGCACTTACAACCCCTCCCAGCTTAGTATCATCTGCAAACTTTAAAAGTGTACTCTCTATACCATTATCTAAATCATTGATGAAGATATTGAACAGAACCAGACCCAAAACGGATCCCACTCATTATGCTTTCCAGCATGACTGAACTACTACTGATAACTACTCTCTGGGAATGGCCAAGATATACTATTGTCTACCGTTTTCCCCCTTTCCACAAAGGCTTGTTACCCTGTCAAAGAAAGCTATCAGGTTGGTTTGACATGATTTGTTTTTGATAAATCCATGCTGACTGCTACTTATCACCTTATTCTCTTCTGTGTTATTTGTTTATATTCATGCTTTGTAATTTGACTTAGTTTCCACTTTTTGTAGGACTCTTGATTTAATCTCTTGGTTAATTTTTTTGGGGCACACAAAGGGCATTATACACTGTACAGTGGCTGGGAGGTGGCCCTGGCTTACCCCACACAGGCACAGCCTGCTGCAGGCAAGGATGCTAGGAAGCACCTTGCGCCGTGGCAGCTTCCCCCAAGAAGAACAGGTGCCGACTTTGCCGGGGGATGCCCCAGTCCTGCCTTTGCCCGTCCCTGCTCCACTCCATGCCCACCTCTTTCCACCTCCTCTCCAGAGCACACTGCGTCCCTGCTCCTTCCCCTGCCCCCCCTCCCAGAAAGTCCTAAGCACTGCCAAACAGCTGTTTGGTGGCAGGGGGAAGCACTGGGAGGGAGGGGGAGATGGGGGCGAAGAGGAACTTGTGCAATGCTCTCTTGTAAAGTCACTGCTTTTCCACAGCATCTTACAAGCAGTGGACAGAGCAGGCAGCCAAATGACATTATAAGAGAATTGCACAACTTTAAATGAGCATGTTCCCTAATGGAGCAGCGACATAACTTCAAAACAACATTAAGCAGGAGGATGTTAAGTGAGGAGTTACTGTACTTCCTATCTTTCCTACGCAGTGGGATATTTTGCTCTTGTGCCCTTAATAATGTCTCTGAAAAACTGCTGTCTTCAATTGTTTTTCCCCTTAGACTTGCTTCCCATGGGATCTTACCTACCAACTCCCTGAGTTTGCTAAAGTCTGCCTTCTTGAAATCCATTGTCTTTATTTTGCTGTTCTCCCTCCTACCATTCCTTAGAATCATGAACTCTATCATTTCATGATCACTTTCACCCAAGCTGCCTTCCACTTTCAAATTCTCAACCAGTTTCTCCCTATTTGTCAAAATCACATCTAAACATGGTAGATCAACACTGTTCAGACATTTAACCCACCCCTAGAGGGTGAAAAGTAAAAGCAATCTTCCAAGTATTACTCAGTACACTAGGCCTTTGTTTTTTTTAACTATAGTCACAATCTTTGAGGCCAGTTATAAGACCCCTACCCCTTTACCCATACATATTTGGGAGTAATCAAAATATACAGTCTCCTTAATGTGTGAAGTTATTAAAAAGGAATGCTAATAGTATCTAATGTGTGTGATTGGTCCTTAATCGCCAAGTTTGATGCACTAAACCACTCACTGCATTTCAGAATACATATACAATCAGTTTATTAGTGCCAAATTTCCTTACAGGCATAGGAGGAGTCTAGCCCATTTGCAATTTTTTTATTCATAATGCTGAAATAGGTGAAGATTTGTATTACCTGTATTATGAAAGCCAAATCCAACAGATACTAAGAATGTCACAGTACAGATACTGACATTTTAGAATATAAACAGGAGTGATGAGAGATCATTTACTGAGATGCACAAAAGCATATGCTTAACAATACAAACTATTCTTTGAATATGTCCTTCAAAAATTGACAATGTTACAGCTAAAACTCATTTTAAAAAGATTATCTAGGAACAAAGGGTTTCAGTTGTTTCCCTCTGTGATGTTTAATACCAAGCAGGATACAGAGGTGGGTTGTGATATTGCTGAGAACACACTGATGGATGAGATGTTATCTTCCTGGCCCCAAATTACACATTTTAGAAACTACAGCTAAGCTTGGTTACCTAGAGCAATTCTATAAAGAACTACCATTATTGAAGGCTGAGGGAAGTCAGCTATATAGCCATTCTTCACTAATAGATATGACAACTTTCAAGGGCTCTTGGTTTATAAACTTGGCACTCTGATTTGTTTTTCTGCTCTTAAACTGTTGCTAATACCACACCTAAGGGCAGCTGCTCTCCTAACTTGCACAACTTGTTAATGCACATTTTTCACAACTCAGAGTTCTGTCTCTACATTTCAGCTGACAAATTCAAATGTTTGAAACAGACCAGCTAAAAAACTGCTTACTTCGATGAGTTTTGACTTTAGCTAGATCTTCTGCAACTACTTGTACCATTCGTTCTGTAGTTTCCTTCAAAGTGGTTGCAGTCTGTATTGCATGATCCAAAGTAGAGTTTAAAATC